CTTTAAGACCAACAAAGTTTAATCCTGGGTATGAGCTTTCGAAGTGTGCATGCACACAAAAGCTTATACCCAGAATCAGGGCTATTTTGGGGCAGGAGTGCACAGGAACGGAGTTCCGGCTGGCTCCGGAGCTGGCCATGCCCAGCAGGAACTCATTAGCATAATTGGCCACACCCAACAGCAGAAACTCATTAGGACTGGCTACATGCGGGGTGTGTGGCCTAACATGCAAAGGAGTCCCTGCTACAAAAAAAGGCCCTGGGTTTTGACAACAAACAAGGTAAACAGAATAAGAAGCAAAAGGTGGGTGTGGCTGGATGAGCACACTTCTGGCAACATGGGGGCGCGGCCTAATGTGCTAATGAGCTGTGCTGTCAGGGGTGTAGCCTAATAGGCTGAGTTTCTGCTGTTGGGTGTGGCCTGTTATGCTAATGAGTTCCCGCTGGGCTTTTTCTACCAAAAAAAAGCCCTGTGAAAGCTTATACCCAGAATTAGACTTGTTGATCTTAAAGGTGCCATTGGACTTTGTTGAATTGCTTGGAGAGTGACTGGTCACTCCTGAGTGACCTCCTGCCCACCCCTGGACTAGATAGATGCCCTTTGCTCTGAACTAGCAGAGTTCTGTTCTTAGCAAAGCAGAATCTTTGGTCCTGTATAGGGTTCAGATAAACACAGAGGTCATTTCGGGGGGGATCGCGGGGGATCACAGTTCCCCTGGGTGAGGTACGGGGGGCGGGGCACATGATGAAGCCCCACCCCTTGCTTCCGGCCGCCCCGCTTCCGGCCCTCATTCAGCCAGGAGGAGGCAGGAGAAGAGGGAGGGTAAGTTGCTTCCTCCCCGCCTCTCCCCACCCCTGACTGCCTGGGGCTAGGGAGGGCCTTGGCGGGGCTTCCTCGCACTCCCGCCGGCCTTGCAGGTCCACCGCCGGGCCCCTGATGTCAGGGGGTGTGGCATATGCTAATGAGTTATGCTAATGAGTTCCCCTAGCTGTTTTTCTACGAAATGACCCCTGGCTGAGAATATTCCTAAGTCTTGTCGTTCAGGCCTTATTGGTTCTGTTAGTCCTGCTGCAGAGCCAGGGCTGTTCGTTCAGCGACTCTCCTTTTTCTTCCGTTCCGTCAGCATGATTTCTCGCTAGAGAAGAGGGTCCTGTGTTGGGTAGAGTCCGCCTCGTGGCAAGACACTCCCTGGAGCGACGGGACGACGGATGTCATCCCAACAGCTCCACCTTACTGGCTGTTCATGGTGGACTCAGAAGAAAACAGCCACGAGGAGACCGGAGAGAACACAGCGGAGGAGACTCCCCCTGTGCAGAGATGTGCGAGTCCAGCCGGAGACGACGAAGCTCAGCCGATTGTAAGCGCGAATGGAGACCAGCAGCCTGTGGAGGATGAAGACCCCAAAGGCGAGGGGTCTTCCTCCGCCATCCCCGCAGAAAGCAACCGGAAAGCTCCCCCCGTGTCTGAGGCCAAACAGGGTCCCGGCGCTTTGGCTCGTTTCTTCGGCCTTCCCCAACCAAAACCAAGGACTCCACCGGTCCCGTCGGCTGTCTCTTCGGAGGGCACCTGTCCGAAACCGGCCCTGGTCAAACAAAGCCAGTCTTTACTCTTGCTTAAAAATGTGAAGAACGAGCTGGAACGCGCCAAGGGGAAACTGGCAGCTTTCCTGCGCCCTCTGAGCCATTCTTTTACAGAATCCAGCTTGGCTTCCAGAGCTTTTCCCCTCAGCAATCGCAGCCGGAACAACAGGAACCTGAGACACAGATCTGCCTCGGATTCATCCACAATGGGGACTGTAATGCCCGTGCCCCCGTCTACTATACTACCCCGCGCCTCTTCCGGTTCCATCCCTCCCATTCAAAAGCACAAGCCCACAGTTGCCGTAAGAAACTACTCTTCTCTCCTTTTTTAAATTTTTATTTTAAATTATTTTCTCCAAAAACTGGGACACAAAAGGAAAGAAGGGACGGGGGGAAAGTATTGATTCATCAAGTTTATCAAATCCTATCAATTGTTACGTACAACAAGTAAAGTCAGATGTACAAAAGAATAAACAAGAACTTTCTGAAAGTTAGCAGTAAACTATTAACAATAAAATGATCAGCAGTTGGGCAAACTTCTACACTAAAAGTAAATCATCGTAAAAACCTGAATACTATCTTAGTTGTCTGTCCAAATCTAAATTTTATTCTTGCTAATTATTAAGTACTGATGGAATAAAAAATAAAATATTGAAACTATAATCAATATATTCATCACTTTTAATATGATAGTATTAATATTCAGATAATTCCAAAACTCGGGAAAGAAAAAAAAGTTAACTATTTCCATAATATGAATAATAAGCTTGCCATTTCTGCTGAAATTCTTTCAATGGTCTTCTGTTTATATAATTAGTTAGTTTTGTCAGTGTTGCATACTCAGCTAGTTTTTATTTCTAGGTCTCTATCATAGGACAGTCTCTGTCTTCCATTTTATTGCAAATATTCTGGCAGCTATCAACGTATATCTCAGTAGGTCTTGTGAGGTTCTATCTATATTATCTGGTAGGATTCCCAGTAACATAGTCTCTGGTTTCATCAGGAATTTGGTTTTTAAAATATTTTGAATCTCTTCATGTATGTTTTCCAGTATCTTTTTGTCTTGATGCAAGTCCACCACATATGATGAAAAGTGCCATCTACTTCTTTACCTTTCCAGCCAAGCCCCTTGGGAATTCTTGTCCTTTTTTCCAATATCTTTTGGTGTGACATACCATCAGTAAAACATCTTGTCCCAGTTTTCTCTTAATGCTTGGCAAGCAGTAACTCTAATACTTTTAGTCCATAGGTTCTCCCAGCATTGAAACTGTATTTCCTCACCAAAATGGTGCATCCATTTGATCATGCAGGGCTTGAGAAACGACTCTTCTCTTGCCTTCTTCTTCCTTCTCCTTTTCGTAATGCGGCTGATCCAACCATCCTCCAGTAGTCTTCCTCCAGACTAAGGAATCGTCCCGCAACTTAATTTCAGAGGGTCTCCATCTTGGTCTGCAGTAGAACTGTGAGATTTGAGTCCAGTCGCAGTTTAGAGACGGTTTGAAATCCCGAAAACCGTGTCGGTCTCTAAGCTGCGACTGGACTCAAATCTCGCAGTTCTCCCAACTTCGGTGGCTCTTCAGCCCACAGAAGAGCCACTTTGCTTGGAGGAAGCCTCCTTAGATATGAGGAAGGTTTTGGACTTGAGCCAAAAGGGAAAGCTGGGTAGAAATATTTTAATAAGATAAGAGGGAGGCGATGAAAGCTGCCTTGGGCCCCCCATTGGGGAGAAAGACAGGGTAGAAATGCCATTAAAGAATTAAGCAAATTAACAAATGCAAACACTTGGCTCGGTGGAGAGATGAAGATCCTCCCCGATACTACAGAATCGTAAGAGTGGTATCTAGGTGGTATGAACAATGTACTTTCTTGGGACCTGGTTTTGGAGGTTTTCAGGCAGAGGCTAGATGGCCATCTGACAGCAATGCAGATTCTGTGAACTGAGGCAGACCAAGAGAGGGAGGGCGGGAAGGGTTGCATCAGTGCTTTGTTGTCGTGGCCCTTTCTTACACACCCAGGGAAATGCCGATTGCCACTTTGGGGCCACGAAGCAATGTTTCTCCAGACCGGTTTGACCAGGGATCCTGAAGGGGTTTTTTTGTCATCTCCTGGGCATGGAGCAGGGGTCACTGGGGCTGTGGGGCGGGGGAGGTATCTGTGTATTTCCTACATTCTGCAGGGAGTTGGACTAGGTGACCCTGGAGGTCCCTTTCCATTCTATAATTCCTTGAGTCTATTCTATACTTAAAATAACTCGAGTATGAACATTGACAACGTCGGACTGATCCTGCGGCTGGCCGAAGGTGGTGAATACCTGGAATGAGTCGGGAGTGGCAAATCTTGGCAGGGGGCGGGGAATGGGACGCTTTGCGGCCTCGGCACGGTGCTTCACAGCATAGCACCAGCCGGTGGGTTTCTTCTTCCCCAAAGCAAAGACCCGGCCCTGGCTTTCCTTCATCTCGTTGGCACAGGAGATACTTCAGTAGGTTCCAGGAGGTGTCACCTTTGTTTCTGCAGGGCGGCAGCCATTCGGAAACAGCCGCCTGCATCCTAGGAAGACACTTGACTCGGAACCTCCCGACACTTTGTGATCGACCCCAGCACCCCATGGGTGCCCACAGACCAGCCGCAGGGGTGGCCAAACTTTCTTAAGCCAGTTTGGTGTAGTGGTTAAGTGCGCGGACTCTAATCTGGGAGAACCGGGTTTGATTCCCCCACTCCTCCACTTGCACCTGCTGATGTGACCTTGGGTCAGTCACAAGCTCTGGCACAGCTGTTCCTGAAAGAGCAGTTTGTGTCAGAGTTCTCTCAGCCCCACCCACCTCACAGGGTGTCTGTTGTGGGGAGGGGAAGGGAAAGGAGCTTGTAAGTCACTCTGAGACTCCTTCGGGTAGTGAAGGGCGGGGGTACAAATCCAATCTCCTGTTCTTCTTTTACCTCACAGGGTGTCTGTTGTGGGGAGGGGAAGGGAAAGGAGCTTGTAAGTCACTCTGAGACTCCTTCGGGTAGTGAAGGGCGGGGGTACAAATCCAATCTCCTGTTCTTCTTTTACCTCACAGGGTGTCTGTTGTGGGGAGGGGAAGGGAAAGGAGCTTGTAAGTCACTCTGAGACTCCTTCGGGTAGTGAAGGGCGGGGGTACAAATCCAATCTCCTGTTCTTCTTTTACCTCACAGGGTGTCTGTTGTGGGGAGGGGAAGGGAAAGGAGCTTGTAAGTCACTCTGAGACTCCTTCGGGTAGTGAAGGGCGGGGGTACAAATCCAATCTCCTGTTCTTCTTTTACCTCACAGGGTGTCTGTTGTGGGGAGGGGAAGGGAAAGGAGCTTGTAAGTCACTCTGAGACTCCTTCGGGTAGTGAAGGGCGGGGGTACAAATCCAATCTCCTGTTCTTCTTTTACCTCACAGGGTGTCTGTTGTGGGGAGGGGAAGGGAAAGGAGCTTGTAAGTCACTCTGAGACTCCTTCGGGTAGTGAAGGGCCATGGGGTATAAATGCAATCTCTTCTTCTTCTTCTTCTTCTTCTTCTGTTAGCCCCCCCCCCTTGGGGGACACTTTCTCTGGCCTGCCTGGCATTTGGAGCCATTAGCCTACAGACCAGATGATGTACCGATGAGGTGTCCATTTCCGCAGCTGAAGGGCTGCTGAGAATTATTGAGCCAGTATCCCTCTCGCCTTCAGCCTCTCTAACCGTTCTTCCTAAATCCTCCAAACAACACCCCCCCCCCAGTTGCAAGCAGGCTCTGTGGCTTGTTCTGTTCCTGCCTTCTCCATCGAGGAGGAATCCGGAGGCCACTGACCATCCGGTGACTCCTTTCCCCGTTGACCCTGCTGTCCATCCCCGTTTGGTCTAGCCCAATCTAGACGCCAAGGAATTATTCTTAAGAAACGTTTCTTGGAAGGAGGTGCTGGTCTTGAGCTACTTAGCTTCTAATCCTGCTCAACGGGCAGCCACTCCCCTGGGCTGAATTTAGGCCCTGTCACTCGAAGCTTCCGTGGCCTCCACCAAAGAACGCTGAGAACTTGGGGAGCTGCATGTACGTGCCGAGAACCCTGTTAAGAGACCACCCGCTTCCTTGCTGGTAGTACGGTCCTTAAGATTCCTAGACGGGAAATGTTGTGACAGTGAAACCATTTTCACTCTATGATGCAGAAGTGCCCAAGGGCCTGGTTCACCAAACGATGTCATTGGGTGCGGTCACACGGTCCTTTTGATCGGGGTTTGCCGCTGTTCCCTCCCGCGTTTAAGTTTGCTGATCAGACAGGCAAATCCGCCTGCCGCGCCGAAGTGGGCTCACTCCTGCAATGCTTCCGGGTTTTCCTGCCCCCGGGAAAATCAAGTATTTTCCTGGTACTTGTGCTTGGAATGCGAGATTTCGCCCATCTGGACAGCCATCTTTCGCAATGATTGCGATTAGGGCCTGACCCTAATCGCGGGGTTGTTGTTTTTTTTTTAAAAAAGCTTCCAGTTTGAGCACTTGGGCAAACATGCGCTCAATAAATCCATTATTAAACGTTATTTTTATGTTAATTTCTCTGTTTAAAGTAGGGTTGCCAAATTTTAATTTCCTACCGGCGGGGGGATCTTCTTGCCGGTCCAGGAGCTGCTCGGGGATGCGCGCGCACCGCCAGGACGTCACCCGGAAGTGACGTCACACGCTGGGCGGGGCCACGCCGTTTGAGGGGAAAACAAAGAGTTTTCCCCTCAAACGGCGTGGCTCCGCCCCCAGCGTGCGACGTCACTTCCGGGTGATGCGCACGTGGGGGTGGGGTTTCCCCCGGACCCCGATTCCGGCACGCCGGAAATCAGGGCTCCGAAGCGGGGGATTCCCCGCCCCCCCGGCTGCATTTGGCAGCCCTAGTTTAAAGATAACAGCAGCCGCCCGAGCCTGCCCTGTGGCTGGCAGGATCGCCTGGAGGGACTCGGTGCGGTGGAGGCTCTGCCGCAGCCCCGATGAGCCGAGCTGAGTGTAGCAGCCCTCTTGGCCGGTCTTCCTTTTCCCACTCCTCCGGGGCTGGTCGGGCAGGCGGCTTGCTGGAGCTGTCATATTATCTTTAAACAGAAAAATGAACATAAAATAACGTTTAATAATGGATTTATTAAGCACACATTTGCTCAAGCGCTCAAACCGGAAGCTTTTTTAAAAAAGAAAGAAAGAAAGAAAGAAAGAAAAGAAAGAAAGAAAGAAAGAAAGAAAGGGTAATGCACAGCGATTTTCCTTAGGAGCTGGCAGGCGAGCGGGTGGTGGAAGAGAGGGGCCGGCTGCATCTAATCATCCCAACCCAAAGAAAAATGTTCCCGATTAAATT